AGAAAGAAAAGAAAGTCGATCAAAAACAAAAACAATAGGGAAAAAACGTGAAAGCAATCCAAGAAGAAAACAAAAGGTGCAAAGAAAAATCAAATAAAATGTGGACCCCACCACCTTATCTCTCCATAACAAATTCTCACCTGCACAATAACACACACACGCCAGATGCCAAAGCAAGGCCAAAAAAAAAGAAGAACAAAAAATATTCCTTTAGTAGGAACACTCACACACACTTATCTGGATTCTTTCTTGGAAAACAATTCACCATTTTTTGCATATATACACACAATTAGACACTACAACGGGGGGAGATCTGGAACGAAAGAGGGGACTGGGGAAAGAAACAAAAAGAGAGGAGGAACGAAAGAAAAAAAGAAGAGATCTGGGGAAATAAAAATACAAGGGATAGAAGATAGGGACAAAAAAATTTTTGCATTTTTTCGAAATCCTTTCTTTCTCTCCAAGAGATCGGCACTCTACTTCAAAAAAAAAGCTTTACCTGTTTCAGCTATCTCCTTCCTTTCCCAAGCACTAAAACATAAAGTTTCAACACCATGTGAATCCTCCATGGCCTATTACATCCATCTATGAAAGAAACTCCATTGCTTCACCATTAAACCATCACAAATCAGCCCCAAAATCACCAGAAAAACACCTCATGTAAACCACTTGAAGCCATCTTAAATTCAAGTGAAACCTCGTTCTAGAGTTCCGGCGGAAACAGAGGCGAGTGAACGAGCAACTGCTGGTCATTTTCGAGGTTGCCGGCGATCATTTCCCCTTCATCACTCTACTGTTTCTCTCGTCCTTCCCTTTACAGATTCGCCACCCGCTATCGATTTTCCGACAGCTTGTATATTTTCCGGCGAGGTTGTCGTTCATCCGAATCCGGTTCCGTCGAGTTCGTAGTTGTAGTTCGCCGTCAAGTTGGCGTGGTCGTTGGGCAAAATTTCCGGTTTAAATCTAATCTTGCGCTCGATATTTGCTGTTGTAACCAATTTGCAGTGAAGCTATAAAGGTCCAATTTCATTATCTTTAATCATTTTACTGATATATTGCTTGTGCTTAGTTGTTGGTTGAGTTTATGTTGATAAAATCTTAGTATGAAGTAGCCTACTGTATAATGGTTGAAATTATCCATGTGTTTTTGTGTTCCTGCTGCCTTTTCGCATATAAAAAAAAAATTGATCATGTGTTCCTGCTGCCTTTTCATCTTTTAAAAAAAAATTGAGATAATACATAAATTACCCATCAAACTTGTCCGGAAAAATCATTTACACACCTTAATTTTACGGGCGACCTATGTCCCCCCTATTCTTGTTTGATGGGTAATTTATGTATTATTTCAAAAAATTTCATACATTATATGTTGAATTTGCGAATATTCAGTCCGAAATTTGGATGTTTTATGTGTATTAGATCATGCATCTGTTTAGTGAAACTTTTTAAAATATATTTCGATTGATTTTTAATCAAATGACGTCTGATGTAACTGTCTTCTTGAGGACTACCACAACATATGGATTATAAGTCTCAATTTGAAGTCAAATTTGATAATGTGTGATCGTTTTAGTTTGTTGCCTTCTCATTTATTAATGGCTTAATCTAATCATCGTGATTGTTTATACGTTCGCGTGACGTAATTACGATCCTTTAAAATAAAAATGAGGTGCGTCGCGCCAAATGAAATCACAAATTGCGTGGCCCTCTTTAATTGCTTTATTAAAAATATTTTAGAAATTCGGGACGTGCCATTTAGCGAATTTTCATGGCCTCCCGCAAAGTTAACAAGACGCTAGCCACTTTAGGCGCGCTTTTTAATAATTTTACCTTCTTAACTACGGGTGTGCATTTCATGCGACCCAAATCCAAATCCCAAAAGGCTGAATAAGAGGTATCAAGGATCCGGGTGCATTTCATGTGACGTGATCCAAAAACACGGTCTTAAACGACGTTTACTTTCATAAAAACTAATTAAAAGCGGTTAAACAATTCTATAATTGCAATAGGATAACATGTATTAAAATCAGACTTTAGCCAAATATAGCAGTTGAGCGACCGTGCTAGAACCACGGAACTCGAGAGTGCCTAACCCCTTCTCCCTGGTTAACAGAATTCCTTACTCGGATTTCTGGTTCGCGACTGTTAAACAGAGTCAAACCCTTTTCCTCGATTCGGGATTCAAACCGGTGACTTGGGACACCATAAATCTCCCAAATGGCGACTCTGAATCTCTTAATAAACGAATCCCGTTTCGATTGTCCTTTAATTGGAAAAACTCCCTTTTATTATATCCTTTCCGGGGGTGAAAAAGGAGGTGTGACAGTATTCTCAGCAGTGATAGTTGCGTTTTCATCATCAACCGCCATTGTTGAGTTATTCAAAGTTTTTACTTCGAGAAATTGAGATCACAATTGACTCAAAAATAGAGAATAACAGCTGAATTTAGAGTAGAGAGGAATAATTAGGATCGATTTTGAGCTTCGATTTGGAGCTCAAAGCTCTGATACCATGCTAAAGTTTATGGATTAAATGCATTAAGAAACCCTAGCTGAAAGGGAGAAGAGAGACGAAGAGAAGAGATGAAGGAAATGAATGAAACAGTAACAATTTTCATTCTGCTCTAATGAGCTATACAGTAGCCTTTATATACAAGGAGTTAACTTCTAACTAACCAATCCCCTACATGATTAACTTCTAACAGCCTATCTAACAAACTTAACTAATCCAGCCATGTATAAATAGACTAAACTACCCTTCTTGCTTAAGTCACTCCTCTTTCCTCAACATAAGAAAAATAGGATACAGAGTAGAATTATTATATAAAAAGGTAGAGTAAAGAATAAAATATGATTATTTAATAATAAGGAAGGGCAAGATGAAAGAAAAAAGCAAGGTAACGCCGCCACCACACCAAATCCGTCGTTCCCTAAAGTGGCCCTTTTCGTCGTTGCCAACAACGGGTTTAACGATATGATACAATAAAATTTAAGTAATAATCAAAACAAACATTGAATTTAAAGTAACAATACGATACAATAATAGGTAACAACCATCCAAAAAAGTTGTTACTTCTCATAATTCCCTAAATTCTTAAACACGAAAACTGCAGAAGAAGTCCAACTAATTTTCAGAATATACTTCCACTGGACCATATTTGGATGAATATACCTGTTTTATGAATTGAAATGAGCATACAACTGTTCAGACTGGACCGCAACCTAATCAATGCGAATTATAACGGGATAGAAATAGAAAGAAGACAAACATCCAATAACAACCAACCTAGCCAACAGCAATAACAACTCGTTAATGAAGTTTGCACACTTCCACAGTTTCACTACTAGAAATTCGGTAAAAACCGACCGCAACTTACTTCGGTATGTCAAAAAACTGGCCGAAAAACCGACCAAAGTCGGTTAATAATTTAAATTATTTTATTTTTCAATTTTTTCTTTACCAAGACGACCAACTTTGATCGGGTTTTTTTTTTTTTGCGCAAAAATGCAGGAAATTTTTTTTACGTCCCGCGAAATTTATTTTTCAAGAAACCGACCAAACTTTGGTCGGTTTTTCATTTAAAATAAATTAAAGTTATATTCAAAAAACCAACCGAAATCAGTCGGTTATTTCGGCCAGTCATTTTTAAAAACCGACCGATTTTGGTTGATAATTTTATGTTTTGATAAAACCAACCAACATCGGTCAGTTATTTTCGCGCGAATATGCAATTAAAGAGTATAAATGAAATAAAAGATAATCTTAAAACAAAATACAGCAATGGTCTAGTGGTACAATAGTATCTTGCCACAGTACAGACCCCGGTTTGATTCCCAAATGGTGTATTTTTTAGTTACATAATAGTCGGTCGGTTTTTCCGGCGATTTTCTTTTTGAAATTTAATTGACCGACCAAAATCAGTCGGAAAATACCGACGGAAGTCGGTCGATTGGCTCTATCGACCATACGATTACCGACCGCCACGAATCGGTCGGCTTTCAATCGATTTTTGCCAATTACCGAACAACGTCGGTTGGTTTTCTCCCTTGTTTTAGTAGTGTTCATATTTCAGCCATGCTCTAAAAAAGACAGTTTCCTCTGATAAGATAAGTAAATATAAGAAAAGATTCATATACAATCGTTCCTTTCAGTTACATGTTTACCTGGAGGTACAGGACGACTGGCCGGCACCTATATCCATATTCTATATTGTACAGACTCTCCAAATATGCTACCGCACCCGTGTCAGATCCTTGCACTAGTTTTGAAAGATCCAACATGCACCCGGCAACATTTTTGCAGAGTCCAAGTAACATAGTCCATAACATAAGGACCTTTGCACTTCACTGCCAACTCTAGAACTACATAAACAGGGACAAACTGCATATTTTTCATACACATCATAATCATATAATAAGCATTTTTAGTCCATATTGCAACGACTGTTTCTCTGCCTAATCTAACTAAAAGCGATCAGAAAACCATTCTGCTTTCATCTTTTAAAAAGAATAATACCAACGTTTTGTTCTTCTCCTAATTTACGGGTTGGCCAAACCTAGCAAGAAAACCTTCCATCGAGTTACATCTCATGTGAACAATGACTTACTGTGAAAAAAAATTCAGGGCGGGGGGTGGCTCACGTCATATAGTTTGCTGCCAACGCCAACATACCAATATTTGCAACTGATAACGATACAATCTCTAGCCTACAACACCAAAATGACATCTTTTTAGTATGCCATCCTAGCATCCTATCAACACACACTGCACATCAACAACGAGCCCGCAACTATGTTTTCAAAATTTGTGTTCCTACAAAGAAACTAATGCAATCAATCACGTGATATAAAGTAGCAGAGTCACAAAACTACACCTAGACATGGTAAGTTTCTGCATTCGAACTGATAGCCTTCGAACTCACATAAAGGTTTACAAGTTGAACTTGCCTACGGAGATCAATGGATCAAATGCAGGAACTAAGAAGTCACAAGCCAGAAGAATACCATATATGTCAAGGAATTATCTTCTTCTGCTAAAATTTTACAAAATCTCTTCAACAAAGAGTAGTAATACTACAATATGGGAAAAACTACTAAGGATATCTAATCTAAACTCAGACTAAGAAAAGTTAGCAGAAAAATCCATATACAAGTAATACATTTACTCATTGACTTTGAAGAGAATGCTCAAGCACCAACCTCAAACGACGCGCTAACACATCCAACTCTGCAACTCTTTGTTCCCTCCACCTCTCCTCAAACTTGTCCAAATTTTCCTCCTTCAATAAATCACCATTCTTATAATCTTTCAAACACTCATCAAACACATCCATCACCACTTTTGCAGCTATCTCCCCAATACTGCATCCTACTCCAACCTGAACTGGACCATCCAAACAACTGCACCCGACTCGTTTATACCCCACATCCCCGCCTTCGAATTCCACATTCACCTCACTCAACTTCCCATCTCCATCACAAAACTCACCAAGTTTATCATTCTTGTAATTATTTACCTGTCCCACTTCAACATTCTCCTTACTCACTGAAACCCCGTCATGGGTAGGGTCTTTCCCTGTTACATTCTCCTTACTCAATGAAACCCCGTCATGGGTCGGGTCTTTCCCTGTTATTCTATTACCGTTCCCAACAGATAGAGGATCGGTATCCATTGAGAGTTTGTCTTGATAAGGAATTGTACCATTTTCATTCCGGTCTTGGCCCGAGCTTGTACCATTTTGATCCGAGACTCGGCTCGGGCCAGGGACTGTAACATAAGGAGTAGTGGGCAAAAAGCTCCCTTGGCCCGGGCCCGTATCATATTGATCCAGGCCTTGGCCTAGGCCCGGGGCAGAAGGGATGGTGGGCAAAAAGCTAACTTTAACACCAACCAAGTTGGATTTTTTTGACTTGTCAGCATTAAACGGCGATGTATGAGCAAAATCAGGGTGCCAAAGCTGTCTCGAAAGATCATACAAAGCACGATCATGTGGCGACAACAATGACATATCTAACCCTTTAGACAGACGAGAAGAAATCACCCTAAACTTCTTCCTCAGCCTACGTAATTTCTCAGAAAGTTGAGATTTCGTATAAGGCTGCAACATGGTATTTGAAAACCGAGTATAAAAAATATTAAGATCACGAGGGAATAATAGGGAACCATCATCAAGAAGACCTTGTAAAAACCGGATCTCATCCGGTTCAGTCCAAATTCGATGGAATTTAAATGGTGGCAGTTTTTGTGGGTCTGAACCGGCTGCGGTGATAAATGGGTCGTCGGTTGTTTTGCGTTTGATAGGGAGCTTAGAAGCAGTGTCAGTGGGGGATTGAGAAAGGGGAAGGGTGGAGTCCATGGCTATGAAAAATGTTTAGTTTAAGGGTTAAACAGTTAATTAAGCGATTGATTTTGGATTTGATTTAATTTGATTTGGTGTTTTGGTTGTGGTTTGGTTTGAGCGTTACTTTCGGTTCAGGGTGAAGACTTTGTAAAAAGGGAAATAGGGATTTTGTTAATTCTAGTTAATGAATTATGAAACGTATTTAGTCAATATAGTCTCTCAAAATGATATATATATATATATATATTGTATGTTATATAATAAATTTTTATATACTATTCGGCTATCGAATATAACTAAATTTTGACCCGGGCTAAAAATAAAAAATAATCCAACGAAGTCTGCTTATATGGCCATAAATAATTTTTCATTATTCGTAAAATAATGATTTGGACATCATTATTTGTGAATATCGAACTTTGATTTTTGGAATACTGGTAAAAATTTATTGACAAATCTATTTGAGTAGTATTAATTTCGAATGAAATAATATCACTCACATAATTTTTGTCTTTTCAAGTGAAATAGCCAAAACACAATTACAACTTCCATTTTTCCTTTTTTCCCTAAAGGAAAAATGAGAGGAAAAAGAAAAGAATTAAAAATTTGAAAGTTGCTTAAAAAAATATAGAAAGAATTACAGCCCATGTCACTTGGCCTAACGGCCCAATAAAAATGGCCCACATTTGAAGCTCTTACCCTATTTAGCCCACGTTGTACATAACTTGAAAGAATAGCAAGGTATAGCCAGTTTTCGTACTGGTCAATCAAAAAATAGCCAGCGTTTACCAAGTCAATGAAAAATAACCACTATTTTGCTGCAATAGAGACCGGTCCAGCATAATATACTGGAGTTTGGTGCACTTGTGCATGAACTCCAGCACATTATGCTGGACCGGTATACTTTGCTGGCTCCAGTATAATATACTGGAGACTGGAGCATCGGTGCTCCAAACTCCAGTATATTATACTGGACCAATATACTTGCTGGAACTCCATTATATTATGTTGGAGTTCTAGTGTACTTATGCTGGAACTCCATCATATTATGCTGGAGTTCCAACATACTTATTCTGGAACTCCAGTATAATATGCTGGAGTTCAAGTATACTTATGCTGGAACTCCAGCATAATATACTGGAGTATTTTTCGGGTTTCGAACAGTGTTTTCGCTCAGATTTATCTTTATATAAAAAGTGGCTAAATTTCGATTACTTTTGAAATTGGGCTATTTTTGAACGACCAGTTATAAATCTGGCTATTTTAAAAATTACCCAACTTTTCAGCCTTTAGCCCACTATTAAAGACATACTTTTAAGGTTTTTATTATTTTCTTCTTTCTTCATTCCCTTCTCTCTCACCGCCTCTCACTTCTTTCTTTCTAACCCACATAGATCCCTCATACTCTCTTAACCTAGCCCCCGCTATTCCCCTTGACGATAGGCTATAATTGTGTATTTTAGTCGCTTATTACACTCTAATTTACTGCACTTTAATTGAGTTTGAGTTTTAATCGCTAGTGTTTTGCACTAAATGTGTGTTTTATGCCTTGTAGGAGTGATTCCGAGCTATGTAGATATTATGGAATGAATTCAAGTAATTTGAAGCTTTGAAGTCTGAGTAAAAGCCCAAGGATACAAGCCGGGATCGCGTTTGGGGGTCAACGGATGCTAGTTAGAGCGAACGAAGAATCGAGCAGGCATATTGCGCACTATCTAGTAAAATGGATATAACTTTTTGCTCAGAACTCCATTTGGTCTCCACAATATATGGTTGGAAAGCTAACTCAAAGGGCTACAACTTTCATGTTTTACGTTTTTCAATTTCCAAACAGAACAGGGTGAAAAGTGTGCGATCGCGCTAGTTTTAGCGCGCCCAGGACAGAAAGTTGTCCAACTAGCGCGGCCATTAGCGCGCCCAGATGTGCGACGGCGCTAGTCAAACCCGGGAAAAATGTCCTTTTTCACATTAGAGAAGGTATAATTTTTTGGGCCCAACCCTACTTGGTATATATACATGGAAAAACGGTACTTTGGGGGGAGGACGCCACTTTAGAGAAATCTAACATACTTTGGAGGAGAATTCACGTGGGGGAACACACACCACGCTTGGAGGAGGCTTTCAACTAGTTTTTCTTCTCTTCTCTTCTTTTAGTTTCATAGTTTCTTTGTTCTAGAGTTTTGGGTGCTACATGAACGTTGTAGTTTGAAGCTTGAATTGTTCTTATTATTTTATTATATTGGTTTATTTATTCAATCTTGCGCTTAATTATTTAATTGCTTGATCACCAATTGAATACTATCTACGAATCTAGGAATGAACTCGGGAGAGGGAATTCTAGATTGCATATAAGATTGAGTAGAGCAAGATCTTAACTCTTAGGGGGAGCGGATTTGCGGTTAGGATAGGAATATACCTAATCGCTTGCCTGGTTATTTTACGGGAATTATAAATGCATTCTTGTTAATCCTAATTTCATAGGAATATAGGCGTTAGGTTAGCTTGAATAGGCGAGTTGTACTTCGGGAGAAGGCTACGAGCAATGTTAACCCTGTCAACCAATAAACCAGATAAATTAATTAGACGATTTAGGTGGAAAACTCAACGGGATTGTTAGCTAACCCTTAGCTCTAGAATATTCACTCACATTGAATTCGTCCCTAATATTGCCGACTTGTTTTCTTTAATCTCTTAGTTTGCTACTCTAAATTAGTCGTAGTTAATAATCATTAGAAATTCGCTTGAATAGATTAATTGTTGGGTTTAATTTAGTTGATAGTTAATAACAAGTCCCTGTGGGTACGATATCTGGACTTACAATCCTATATTACTTGTCGACCACGTATACTTGCGTGTGCGTTTGGGAGCAACAAGTTTTTGGCGCCGTTGCCAGGGACTTAGAAATTAACTATTTTACTAGATTAGATTTTTTCTTTTATCTATTTAAGTTTTTAATTTTAGTCTAGTGTAGTTAGTATTATATTTTTATTTTTTTACATGGAATCTTTGAACGAAAAGTGGTGGGATAGTAAGTATTCTTGTTTTTGTGATCCTTGTCCATATTGTAAAGGACCTCACTTGTGGCAATATTGTAAAAATATTTCCAATACCGAGTTGTGTGCACCATCTCCATCTTGTAGTATTTGTGATAGAAATTGGAATAATTATCCTAAGTGTTGTTATCCTACTCCAATTCCTTCTTATGTTGATTCTAATAATTCTTGTGAGTTTGACAGAAGTAACGAATGGGATGATGTAGAACACGATGTTCACATTCTTGATATGCACGGGAAATTATTAGAGGAATATGGAGGTTTCCGTGAGAAAATTATGAATGAGATGCAATAATTTATAGAAGGAAGAGCTGAACTGGGACAAGAGATCGATCAATTTGGAAGTTCTATTCACGACTTAGAGGCTCAATTAAGTACAAAAGTTGATGCGTGTAACTCCCAACAATTTAGTGATGAGCTTGTGAAGCACAAAGAGGAATACCAATTATTAGACCAAACTATTATTAATGATGCCAAGGTTGACGAAGAGTGCGAAATTGAGGATGCCAAAAATAATACAATTTTGGAGTTGGAGCGTATTGGACCTCATTCTAAACACTTTTCAACGTTGTGTTTGGTTGGTGATATGGGAATTGATCCAGTCGAGCATATGGAGGAGTCAATGGATGAGGAACAAAGTGTTTATATTCTGAAATTTGCGATGCCAAGGAGACAAAACGACATCCCTCACTTAAAAGCCAAGAAGTGCAAGATGCGATACTATTTACTTGGTTCCTTTATTTTCACACCACCGCCCAAAGAACGTGACACAAAAATTGATGCAAAATTGGGGGCGCAATTCATATCCTCAAAGTGGAAGAAAAAGTGGTGAAAGTGATGGCGTCGTGCCGCGACGTTAAATAAAGCGCTTGTTGGGAGACAACCCAATTTTATTTATTTTTTTATTTTATTTTTTTTCTTTTTTTTATTTTATTTTTTATTGTATTATTTTTTTTGTAGTATTATTTTTGTGTTTTGTAGGAGTACGAGCATGGAATCAAAGCCAAGAGGCATGTGCAAAAGCGAGCAGGTGGTTGAACTTTGTGTGAGGTACCCGCACAAGGGATCATACCTGGGAGAAGTCTGAGTATCCCGTGAGCTGCTAATTCTTCGGCCTTTGGCCTACCAGGGAGTCTCTTTTACCCTCTTATTATTTATAGTGTGCATTGAGGATATTGCACGATCTTAAGTGTGGGGTGAGGAGATTGTCTGAGTGACTTTCTATGCTATTTTAGTTGTGTTAGTTTAATTGAATATTTTTTTAAAAAAAAACGGAAAAAAAAATTTAGACTTTTCCCGACGATGGATCTCCTAGACAGTTTTCTTGAGGGATGTAAGTCTAAAGAGAAAGGACAAAAAGATTTTCTTTGTAGATAGTGTAGCAATTCCCCCTTGGTTTTTCTTTGTGCCGCAGTTCTTTTCCAAGGGTTTTGTTTGAACCGGGTGTAGGTAGTTTTTTTTTTAGGAGAGAAGCCATGGTGATGTGAATTGAATTGAATCAATATCTTCTAACTTTGTCATACCTTGAGAATAGTGAGTACTTTAGTTGTGACGCTTAGGCTCAATTTTTGACTCTTGTATAAGTACCTTAAATTGTATGATCTTAACTTTGCTTAACTTCTTTGACTAGAGTGTCTTGATGAGTCCAATCCTGAGTGAGTTATGTGCCATGTTGTGTAAGATTTTGTGTTATTCTGTACATTGCATTCGATGTCTAGAACTTGCCCCGTGTGTTTTCAAAGCGAAATAGTAGTTTTGTTCAGTCTTGGAAGTGATATAGGCGTTTCTTTGTTGAGCCATATAAATATTTTACCCGCCTAATTGTTATGTATCATAGTTAGCCCCTTTGAGCCTGTAATCCTGTTTCTTTGGCAACCACATTACAAGCCTTACTCATTTGTTTGAATTAACAATTTATTTGAACCTTTTCACCCCGCATGAGCACTTGAATTGTTATGAACTTTGTAAAAGTTAAAGTGTGGGGTGTTTGGTTTGGCTTTTGAGTGGAACTAATGAAATAAGGAGAAAGGTGCAGTGTTTTGAAAATAAGTAAGAGCCACTTGAATTGAACAAGAAAAAAAAAAAGATAGTTGTATTGCTGTGAAAAATATTTTGTGATAGTGGTGACTCTTGATATAATTGTGCTTAAAGAAGTGGGGAATTAATATATATTGATGTGAAGGTGGAGTTATGGTTTGACATAAGTATGGAGTTTTGAATGTTACAGTATATGTATTAAAGTGCTTAGGGAGGTGTAGTCACTCTTATATCTAAATGTATCCTACCTGTCCCTCAGCCTACATTACAACCAAATAAAGTCCTACTTGATCCTAGACTGAATGAGCTCGATTAGTAGAGTAGTACAGTACGGGCAAGCCTATGGTGCATCTTTTGTGGCATATGAATGTCATTTCTGAGAGTGAGTGAATTCTTCCTATCTTGAGTTCCTAAGTGTTCTTAAATTTTATTGTGTGGGACTACTCTCGGTGGTTGTGTGAGGGCACTTGATTCATGAAGGAAAGGTAATGTCATTGACCTCTATGTTAGAGTAAGTGGGTGAGTTGCGAATAATGCGTGGTACTTGTGAGTCAAATCTTGAGGTGAAGATGTTGCACTCTTGTGCTTAGTCTATTTTAAATATTCTTGTTGTGATAAGTTAGGAGAATTATTTAAAAAGATCGTGTCTTTATAAAGTGTAGTTTGATGTAGTTTGATTGCTCGAGGACGAGCAATGGATTAAGTATGGGGTGTTGACGATAGGCTATAATTGTGTATTTTAGTCGCTTATTATACTCTAATTTACTGCACTTTAATTGAGTTTGAGTTTTAATCGCTAGTGTTTTGTACTAAATATGTGTTTTATGCCTTGTAGGAGTGATTCCGAGCTATGTAGATATTACGGAATGAATTCAAGTGATTTGGAGCTTTGAAGTCTGAGTAAAATCCCAAGGATACAAGCCGGATCGCGTTTGGGGTCAACGGATGCTAGTTAGAGCGAACGAAGAATCGAGCAGGCATATTGCGCACTGTCTAGTAAAATGGATATAATTTTTTGCTCAAAACTCCATTTGGCTTCCACAATATATGGTTGGAAAGCTAACTCAAAGGGCTACAACTTTCATGTTTTACGTTTTTTAAAATTCCAAATGGAACAGGGTGAAAAGTGCGCGATCGCGCTAGTTTTAGCGCGCCCAGGACAGAAAGTTATCCAACTAGCGCGACCATTAGCGCGCCCAGATGCGCGATTGCGCTAGTCAAACCCGGGAAAAATGTCCTTTTTCACATTGGAGAAGACATAATTGTTTGGGCCCAACCCTACTTGGTATATATACATGGAAAAATAGTATTTTGGGGGGAGGACGCCACTTTAGAGAGATCTAACATACTTTGGAGGAGAATTCACGTGGGGGAGCACACACCACGCTTGGAGGAGGCTTTCAACTAGTTTTTCTTCTCTTCTCTTCTTTTAGTTTTATAGTTTCTTTGTTCTAGAGTTTTGGGTGCTACATGAACGTTGTAGTTTGAAGCTTGAATTGTTCTTATTATTTTATCATATTGGTTTATTTATTTAATCTTGCGCTTAATTATTTGATTGTTTGATCACCAATTGAATACTATCTACGAATCTAGGATTGAACTCGGGAGAGGGAATTCTAGATTGCATATAAGATTGAGTAGAGCAAGATCTTAACTCTTAGGGGGAGCGGATTTGCGGTTAGGATAGGAATATACCTAATCGCTTGCCTGGTTATTTTACGGGAATTATAAATGCATTCTTGTTAATCCTAATTCCATAGGAATATAGGCGTTAGGTTAGCTTGAATAGGCGAGTTGTACTTCGGGAGAATGCTACGAGCAATGTTAACCATATCAACCAATAAACCAGATAAATTAATTAGACGATTTAGGTGGAAAACTCAACGGGATTGTTAGCTAACCCTTAGCTCTAGAATATTCACTCACATTGAATTCGTCCCTAATATTGCCGACTTGTTTTCTTTAATCTCTTAGTTTGCTACTCTAAATTAGTCGTAGTTAATAATTATTAGAAATTCGCTTGAATAGATTAATTGTTGGGTTTAATTTAGTTGATAGTTAATAACAAGTCCCTGTGGGTACGATATCTGGACTTACAATCCTATATTACTTGTCGACCACGTATACTTGCGTGTGCGTTTGAGAGCAACACCCCTCCTCTACCCCCCCCCCCCCCCACGCAGTTCTGCCATTAATGGCTCGAAGAAGGCTTGGGCTCCTACTCCGTCGTCCATGGTGGCAAGCAGAAGAATATTGAAGATTTTTGAAAGAAACATGAAAATACACACAGATCTGAAAATAAATAGCTCTCACACTTGATTTGCACCAAAAAAATAACCACTAATGTTGGAAGATTTTGAAGTTTGAAGTTCTGGTCATTATTATTATGACCTTGAAGTCTCGAATCTGAAATTGGGTTTGGATAAAAATCATAACTATGTAGCAGTTTGTATCAACACTGTATACTAGTGTATAATTGTGTATATGGATATACAAACACCTCTTATACACTATTACATGTTTATACAAGTTATACAGTATTGTATAATTGTGTATAAATATGTATATTTGTGTATAATATTATATAATTATATATTTTTTCAATTTATAAGGATGTATATACATTGTTAGTGTGTAAGAGGCCTCTTCAGAAGTTTGACACTTCCTTCTCTTCTTCTTTTTCGTGTAATGTGTCGTATGAGCGTTGGAGGGATTCTGCAATTTATTTACCAAGTTTTTATTTTTCTTTTATCCTGTTGGATTGCTTCAGCAATTGCACATAAAAGTGTTTGAATTTCTTACCTTCAGATAATATGTATTATTCATGATCTTTGAGTTGTGTTGTGGCTGATTTGCATTTTTTTATCAAATGCTTAATAATCATAGGAAATCAATAGAATGAAAACAACTGGTTGTAGACAAAGGGAGCAAAATAAGTTGTCTTTCGGGAATTAGCCTGTTATTTTTTGGGCTATAGATTTGAAAAGTGGTATCTAGGCTATTATGTTGCAAGTCAGGTGTGTGAGTTGTATTTATGTGAAATTATCCCAAAAATCTCCACATGTCTATTGAGAGGAAAAAACATTAAACTTACATCTAATTTTTATTATAATTTAAATTATTTCAGATCGAAATTTCCTTAAGGATTAAATACAAAAATAAAGCAAAAAAATAATAGCCCGTTTGGCCAAGCTGCAAAAATCAGCTTATTTTGAGAAGTGCTTTTTTTCAAAAGTGCTTTTCTCAAAAGTACTTTTGGTGAGAAGCAGTTTGTGTTTGGCTAATTAGTTTGAAAAGCACTTCTGAGCAGCAATTAGTGTTTGGCCAAGCTTTAAAAAATTGCTTCTAAGTGTATTTTTCTCAAAAGTGCTTCTCAAAAAAGTGTTTTTGGAGAGAAACTACTTTTTTCTGCTTCTCCAAAACTGCTTCTGCTTCTCCTCGAAAGTACTTTTTTTCCTTCCAAAAACTTGACCAAACACCTCAATTTTTGGCCAAAAGTACTTTTGGGCCAAAAAAAAGCACTTTTGGCCAAAAATAAGCTTGGCCAAACAAGCTTTAAGTTTCTATCCAAATGACGGATTAATAATGATCAAAAGCTTTTACACAAATTAACTCAATTTGGAAAAAAGAAAAATTCTACTCCCCTGCTTCGTCCCCAGTGCCACGCCGCCACCTCAGCCAGTCCTCCGTCCTCAGCGGCCAGCGCCACCACATACCTCCGCTCCGACCCTTCTTCAGACTATAACAGAAGCTAGTTGCCTAGCTATTTTAGCTTCAAATTCCTTTCTATGGTTCAAAAATGAACTTATCACCTCGTATCATCCCCCCTTTAGCTTCCCATTTACTCTTCAAAACTTTCCCTCTCTTAATTCAAACTCACCACCCTACTTTTTCAACCCAAGCTCTTCAAGATTCCTCCAATATAATCACTTCTATATGCAATTCCCTACGCAGAGGAGAAAATTGGGAATCTTTAACCAAAAAGTTTCAATCTTTTCACTTCACACCCCCAATTATGCAACAAGTGCTTTTAAACCTCAAAGAACCAAATGATTCCAAAAATGCTTTGAGTTTCTTCCATTGGTCATCAAGAAATTGCAATTCTCGACATGGGGTTTTTATTTATTGCATTACAATTCATATTCTTGCAAAATCTAAGCTTGTGAAAGATGCAAATGCACTGCTTGAATCTGCTTTGAAAAATGAAAATTTATTTGTTGTTCTTGATTCTTTAATTGGAAGTTATAAGTTAGTTGATTCGTGCCCGTTTGTGTTTGATTTATTTGTGCAATGTTGTGCTAAGTTGAGAATGATAGATAAGTCTTTAGATGTTTGTAAATTGTTGGATGAAAATGGATTTATGCTTAGTGTTATTAGTTACAATACTATGCTTCATGTGGTGCAGAAATCGGAAAAGACTAGTATGGTTTGGGGTATTTATGAGTATATGATTGAGAAAAGGATATATCCGAATGAAATGACAACGAGAATTATGATTAGTGCTTTGTGTAAAGAAGGAAGGTTGCAACGATTTTTGGATGTTGTGGAGAAAAGTCATGGAAAAAGATGTCAACAACCCGGGGTTGTTGTGAATACGTGTTTGATATATGGGATGATTGAGGAGGGTAGAATTGAAGACGGGTTGAGTTTGATGAAGAGAATGTTGCAAAAGAATATGATACTTGATACGATTTCGTGTTCTTTAGTCGTTCTTGCGAAGGTGAAGATGAGAGATTTGGAGTCTGCTTGGAGGGTTTATGATGAAATGCTTAGGCGGGGTTTTGAAGGGAATGCACTAGTGTATGATTTGTTCATTGGGGCGTATTGTGAAGAGAAGCGGATAGATGAAGCAATTAAGCTGATGGATGAAATGGAGCGTTTGTGTATGAAACCGTTTGGTGAAACATTCAATCATCTGATTAAGGGTTGTTCAGAAGTGGGAAGATTAGAAGAAAGCATGAAATTTTGTGATAAGATGATAGCAAATGGGTTCGCTCCTAGTTGTTTAGCTTTTAACAAACTCGTCGCTAAGCTTTGTGAAAATGGAAGTGCAAAGTCTGCTGATCAGCTATTGACTTCTCTGATGGATAAGGGTTTTGTTCCAGATCAAAGCATCTATACTTACCTCATTGTTGGTTATGCCGACAAAGGTGACATTGAAGGAGCACTTAAGCTTTATTATGAAATGCAATATAGGTCGATCTCTCCTAATGCTTCTATTTTTGATTCATTGATTATTGCTTTGTGTCAATGTGGGAGATTGAAAGAAGCGGATGAGTTTTTCTCTTTAATGGTTGGTCAATCCTTGACACCAAGCATTCATGTTTACAAGAAATTGATCGCAAGCCACTTGGAGAGGGGCGATGAAACAGGGGCTCATCAGCTGTACAGACAAATACGTAGAGAGATTTGACAACATACAATAGAGTAGTTTCTGAGCTTTCTACTTTATTTGAAACGCAGTCGGACTGTATCAATAAGCAGATTAAAATTAAAAGTTTTCTCATAACGTTCTTCGTGATGGTATTTGTGAGCGTTGGTTGGCAAGTGGTAACATGATCTTCTCCGCTATAGTTTGGTTGTTGGTATCATAATGTTTGGTGATGTGCTTCATTGGTGAGCTAATAGGCACCTCTGTTCTACAACGTTATTTCTCGTGAATTAAAAAAATTTGACTACAACTTTGGATGGTGTCTAAGTTATTATTATACATATTGGTCAAAGATGTGGATTTTCTTTCCAGTAGCAATTTGAATGGTTTATCGTGAACTTGATAAGCCACTTCTTCAGAGTACTTATCTGATAAAATGACATGCTTTATCTCAATGAAGTGCAGCTTCTAGATGAATTTTGAAGCTTGGAAATGAATGATTCGAGCTGTTGGTTTACTACAAGTCGTAAAAGCAAATTTGGAACCAATTCACCACAAAAGAATATTGACTATACTGAGAGGTGCTGATGTTTTAAGTAGAAAAGGTGGTAGTAAAGGGTGAGAATTATTTCAGTATTAATTCAACTGTTCCTTAACTCTCAGCTGTTGTTTCCCTCGATAGGGGAAAAAAAATAAGCTGGACGGCAAAGAAAACATGATGCAAGCCGCCTTCACTGCGTAAGCTGTCTTTACTCTCCTGTTAAAGTTATCTAATTATCATTATATTCTTTTACTCCTAATATGGTTAGTTAATGCATAGCATATCAGTAGCCAAATTTTCTGATGAGCAGTTGATTGCATGGAAACAACATTTATTTGGGATATGCGACTCTTTGGACTAATCCTTTCCTCCCGTCTGTTCACTTCACTCTGAGGATAAAAAAACAGAAAAAAAGATTCTGAGTTCTTCTTTTTAATGTTGCTATATTTTCACTTCTACTGTATGAGGTTTGTACTCTACTATTAGCTAATAATGGCTCATGATAGGTTGTTATAACTTATACCCTTGTGCTTCTTTAATATAACTGATTAATTGGCACGGTGGTTCAACCTTTTGTAGTTCAAAGTGGCAGTGATATCAAGTAAGGCGGAGTGTTGTGCTTGACCTGATAGGTTGCCGGTTTTGTCCATACTGATCAAAGTAGTAGCCAGGTTCATGTGCTTGAAGCTATAATGAGGAATTTTAGTAATATGTTAAGGGGAGTAACCACTGCTGGAAATTGATTGTATTGATTCACACTCGACTAGAGTAATGAAAAACATACAACTCCAGATATGGCATATTGATCTTGTTCTTGTCATGCGTGACGTCATATCGTATTGCTATGTTAACTTGATGATTAATCACGAGACACAAATTGCTACGATTGCTGATATAATTTTACCTTGTTTTTTCTTTTTTTGCTTCGTAGGAGCAGAAGTTTGTTGATTTCAAGCCGAAGCAGACTATCGTTCGCATAAAGTAGTGGACAGTCAAATTGACTTGAGCTCTTCCGGATTTGCACATTGCATTCAGGTCATTCTCTTCTTACCAATAATTTCCTACATTTTGTATGATAATACATATTTTTTCCACTTCATTTGTTGCTTCTGTATCATGAACATATTTTCTTATAGAAAAATCACATGTCAAGTTGCAAAGGGGAGGTGCAACTGATTTGAGTACTCTTAGATGGTTGAATCTGCATTTTTTCCTACATGGTATAAGAGAAACTATGGAATAAAACTACATATTTGTCAATATCCTCCTCCTTTTCCTTTTCTTCTTCTTAGGCTAATCTTTCTTTCTAGATAAATATAGCATATCCACTTGTCTATATTTTGTGCAAAAGATTCTATTATACAATGGTGAAAGGAAGAAATCTAGAGTATGGAATGTAATAATGTGTAGCAGTACCCTTTAAGGACTGGAGTACTAGTTTATTAAAAAGACGCGGTCCAGTGTACAAAGCATCCCGTGTTCACGCAGGGTTCGGGAAGGGCCGCACCCCAATGGGTGTGATACTGCTAAATTACTTGGCCCAGGATTTATGCCCGAAATTAGGTTCTAAAGGCACCATTCTCTATGAGAAATTACGGCTTGTATCATCAGGATCTTTTGTTTGCTCCGCAAGGTAGTCAGAGCCAGCCAGTTTTCCATTAAACAGGCATGATAGTCTCTTCACCTGCACCTTGGCTTGCATTGATTTGAAACTACTACTATACTAAACTGATAACATCCATAGCTGGAAGCTTCAGCAGCGAGGATGTTTGAGGAAGAAGATGAGAGGAGTTTCAGAGAGACAATTCGAGAGAGAAAATGAAGATCTCCATTATCTTCTTCTAAGAAATGAGCTGTATCTTTACAAGACTATATATAGACAAACACAACTAAGAACTAACAGAGTACCTACAGTAATAACCGTCTAACTAACTTTACTAACTGTACAAATAATACAACTTAATGTACAATCTCCTACAGCCACAGCTTGTATTGGCTCACTACTCTTCTACATAAACCGCCTGAAAGCGGATTTTGTTGGGTTAGCTTTTTGGTAGGAAAGGCGGTCACCAGAAGAAATGGGCAGGCTTTTGTCATCCATATCCATCACTGTCCGGGGTAAGCAGTGTATTCTAATGCAAGCGTATTCCTTTTCTTTTTACTATTTTATTATGAAAATAAATGTATACATGCAGAGCCTAAATTGTAATGCAAATAGGTCGAAATTATCAAAGCCATATTCCTTTTTATTTATTTATTCATTTTTTACTATTTTAATCCCAAAATAGCATAGCCAAAATCCGGAATGTTGAAGTGAACAAAAATATGGAAAAGGTGGAATAGAGCAGCAATTTGCCCTTGTCTTCCCTCTGCCTTTATTCCAAAGGAAGAGAACACATTTTATCGGAAACAACCTCTATATCTCACATAAGGTAGGAATAAAATCTGTCTATGAAATTTTTGTCATTATCTTTTATCAATCCAAGGAAAATTCAAACTCCGCTTCAAGTTTGCTAATTATATTAATTATCCCATTTGACTTTTGAATTTAACTTATGTTCAGTAATAGTTTTTCAATATTACTAGATCAAGTTTGCATGCTATAAAAAAGGGCAATTCGGTGCACGAAGTATTCCGCGTTTATGCCCTGATGCAAACACCATAGACTGATTCTATGACTATCCTTACAACAATTAATTCTCCCAGCAAACCAAATATAATAACTTGCAAATTAAAGTAATTAATAACTTGTTATTATTAGTTACAACTTATATTGATAATGTACATATAATTACCAATTTCCTTGAGTCCAATAGGTGCATAAGCATTTGAACCAATCCCCGCACTTACCAATCACAGTAAAAGATTGTTGATAACGATATACACAGTATTTATAACAATTCTGATCGCTAAAACACCATCCATAATCATTATTACCATTAGTTACCAATTCCCAGTCGTGAGCTTCTGTCAAATCTGCATCCAATAACAAAGAAAATTAACAAATTAATACACCCTTTTTTTCTACCTCAAAATTTTATTTACTTATTTATTTTCTTAAGTTCTTTAATTTATAATCATTAGTTACCATGACAAGAAAATCAGTAACACCTTTGGACGTGTTTGATGCAGCGCGGAAGTCATGTTCTTTGAAAAGTATTTTTCATGGGAAATATTTTTGTTTTTTGTTGGTTGGTGAGCGAAAAATATTTTCCACGTTTGTCATACAAGCACGAGTAAATGACTTCCTCATGAATATTATTTTTTTTTGAAGTTATTTTTCTTCGTATGAAGGGGAATCTTGGAGCAACGGTCAAGTTGTCATTTTGTGACATATAGATCGCGAGTACGAGTTGTGGAATCAGTCCCTCCTTGGGGTGCGGCCGTTATTTGAACCTTGTGTGAACGCAAGATACTTTGTGCATCGGACTGTCTTTTTTTTTTCTTCGTACAAATCACACTAAGAGCCCGTTTGGATATAAAAAATATCACTTTTTTTTTCGAAAAATTAATTATTTTTTTTCGAAATCAGTGTTTGGCTATAAAATTTCAAATTTTCACTTGAAGATGAATTTTGGAATTTTTCGAAAATTTAGAAAAAAATCCAAAAAGCTGTTTTTCAAAAATTTCACTTAGATCACTCACAAAACTTCAAAAACAACCCAAAATTATATTCATGTCCAAACACAACTCTAGTTTTCAAATACGATTTTCACTTGAAAATGTTTTTCACTTTTTTCTGGAATTTTACAATTCTTATGTCCAAACGCCCACTAACTCTTAATATAAAGAATTTTAATAAGTAACAATCCATTGGGAAAATTTTCTAATACAAATGACAAGCATAGAACGTGTAACTATCAAAGGTGTAAATTTTAAGTCTTTTTTTGTGGGTACCATTTTCATTTGTGTTGGTTCTACCTTTTAAAAGTGATAGTTTTATTTACAATAGGTTCGTAATTAATTTATTATCAATAAAGCTTTGAATTTCTTGTACAGAGAATACATATGTTCTCGTCCCTATAACTCTTGATCCTAGAAAATAGCGGGAAAAAGCAATAAATAATAGGGAAAATTTTACATAAGAACAATTGGGATCCTTACTTTTCAATTTTATAGCCCATATTTTAATTTACAACCAACTAGCCCAAAAATAATAGGCTAAGATTGATCATCCAACTCCAATAGGTTCTCAAAATTACTATTTAATTTTTAAAAAAGATTGCTCAAGCTTTTAAGTTAATTTTCAAATCAGTAATTGTAACCCAAATATTAGTTCAACAAACAAATTTCATTTGGATGGTGAAAATTAGATTTTTAACAAGCTTAAATATGTGGGTTTAGATTCCGAATTTGATTTTATGAGAAATTTGGAGTGGGTATTATCTAAAATTATTAGCAATGGTATAAAGAGGTTGTATACAAAATTTGAAGTCATTTAATGGAGATTTGGACTGATTTTGAACAAGAATTGTAATTGAAAATCGTTGAAGAAGTTCGTCTACAAACGCTTGTATAAAGGTGTATAAAGCGTATAATGATGTATAAGATGTGTTTATACACTCATATACACTGTTATACAAGATTATACATAATTATATAAAAAACCGACTTCGTCTTCTTCCTTGCGTTTTTTCTGAAATTTAACTCAAATCTACTCCAAATCACTTCAAATTTAAATTTTGAACTCCTTTTGATATTTTCAATCAATTGGAACAACATCCAATCCAAACAACTAACAAACTCAAAAAATCTTATTTTTGAAAGCCAAGCTTTGAATGGCCTTCAATGGTGGAATGTTGAATCTTCAATTTTTTTACATTGCAACCAGGTGACACAGGGGAGAAGCAATAATGGTGGACGACCCCTTGAAGCATATGTAGAAGATGTGAGAAGAAAAGAGAGTGAAAACAATGTTTGTGACAACATAAATTTAACTCCATAGCTTTTAGAAGCAATGGTTGTAATAAAACATATTTTGAATTTGCTAGTGCTTTCAAAATATGTACAATATGGGTTAGGTTGGGTAAAACTTAAAAATATGGGTCATTTTTTATTATGGTGTGAAGCCAAATGTATTTTCTTGTAATTCTTTCTAAACAATATCCCCATCAGGTATAAAAATTTTGTATGCAGTAAGGATTAAGCACTTGCATTATATAAGGAAATAAATTATGAGCTTTGGTTATAGATGTAATTACTCACCTAGTGATGCAAAGACGAAAATCAAACAGCTCAAAATGACAAAAATTCGTGATGTAGTCATTATTTCTTCTTCTGGTCTTCTATGCAATTTCATGAGAGGATTGAAAGGAATGTTTTTAAATGTATTTATATTATAGTATATAAGATGTTTTAAGCTTTAATTTCTCATAGGACCCAATACTTGCAAAATTAAATTCTAATTAATTCTTCTAATCTTCAGTTTCATATTATTTAATGCAACTACACTTTTCATCAGTTTTCAAACAATTAAGACAAATGATTTAATTAAGCTTTCAAGTCGTGTACGTAAAAATTATAAGAATAATACAATAATCCTTCCCATCCATTTTAATTGACTTTTTGGCTGTTTTCACGTACATTAAGAAATTTACCTTTTAGCATTAATTAATAATTAAAATGATCATATTAACCTTAATTTTGTTCATTGAAATTATAACAATACTTCTAGGCTCTTTACTCCGAGGACAACTTTGGAAAAAAACTGTTAATTCCTTTTAATATCTAAAAATATCGAATATTGTGAATCACAAGAAAAAAACTCAAAAATCAATTAAAGTGGAGCGGAGGGAGTGCTATTTATATCTGTGAGTCCTCATAGTTGTGCCTGAATCTGCGATATTTCATCTAAAATAGCCTTTCAAATTTAATAACAATAGAGTACTTCACTAACAAGGATTGCCGTGGAATGCCTAGCATTTATTTATTCTAAACCAGAGGTCTCAACTTTGAGCCCCACGTATGAAGTCACCTTTGTTAGAGAATGTTTTCCCCTCTAATATGAGATTTTCCGAGGTGAATTCGAATTTAGCTGGGCCCCAATACGATTATTTAACATCGAGTGGGAAATGGGAAATTAAAGCTCGATTTTAGCAGGTTCAGGCACTCGAGACCAGGGGCGGATGCAGTGCCTTATCTGCGAGTTCAATTGAACCCATAACTTTTGACGCGGGGGAAAAATTTATATGTAAAAATTCATTAAAATCACAAATATAGTAGATATGAACCCATAATTTTAAAAATATAAAGGGGTCAATGCTAAAATTTTAAAAATTAAACCCATAAGATTTAAATCCTAAATCCGCCTTTGCTCGAGATACTGCCCTTAAAAATATTTCATCCACACAATAAAGTATAAAATTAAGCATATTTATCAGGGTTCAACAAACTCCTTTAGTTATAATTAATTGGGAACAAAAACAACAGAAAGACAAGAAAGAAAAACCCAGCCTATAAGAAGCTATAGGAGAAAGAAGAATGACTTAGAAGAATTCTGTATGCTATACATATATTCATTGGGATAGCACTAATTTTTTTGTTGTTTTTAGCTATTCTTCACTCCTTTTACTCAATTTTCATTGCTTTTCTTGCCGGTCTTGGGTGTTTCTAACTTCTTCAACTCTCTCAACACTTCATATCCTGAATATTCAACATTCAAAGCATAATTAGTCGTCAAATGAGGCATAAAACTTAATAAAAACACAAGAGACGTTAGCTAAAATGATAACTTATTAGCTATCTCCACACTTGCAGGTAGGGTGTACATAGGTCGGGTTAGTTCGGATTTTTCAATTACCAAATCAAATTAAGATGTCAGGTTTTTAAATCTATAAACCAGACCAATAAAGCCGGGTTTTTGGGTTTTTTTCCAGCAAAGTCTTCCATAGCACAAAATATGTAACTTGTGCTCCAAATATTTTAAGTGGTGTACCCTATGTTAGAAAACATAACTAGGGATTGGTGCACCCTAAACTGGTAAGGAGACTAAGGAGCGGTGACCCTATGTCTAAAATAACATCAACTAGGGAGTGGAGATTTTAAGTTGGAAAAGAAGACTAGGGAATTGAGACCCTATGTCTAAAATAACATCAACTAGGGAGTGGAGACTCTATGTTAGAACAGGAGACTAGGGAGTGGTGATCCTATGTCTAAAATAACATCAACTAGGGAGTGGAGACCCTATGTTGGAAAAGAAGACTAGGGAATGAAGACCCTATGTCTAAAATAACGTCAACTAGGGAGTGGAGA